TCATGAAGGACATCATCGGCAAAGGAGACAGCCTGCATTTTCCTTGGCAATTAGTAACCCCGATCCTTCCCCATGTGATGAGCGAGTAGGAATGAATGCGAAACCAGAAACCGACTCGAACGATGGACCAGAGTTCATATTTGAACCAGCTCCCTTTACCTCTAAGGTTCAATTGTCGGAAATGAAACTGGCTACCTCTGAGGAGGACAGGAGACTAAATGAATGTGAACAGCTGTAGCCCCCCCCCCCCAAGCGATCACTTCGACCTAAGTTACTGAATCACTGCTATGCCGGACGAACGCCGCCTCATGAGAGTCTCAAGGACAATTCTAAGTGAAGTCTGCTTCTCACCTAGCATACATGAGGCTTGTCAAAAACCCGTGAAGGGCTTTAGGTGAGAGATCCTGACCAATCATCTTCCATGCCAATACCTACAATAATGAACAATATTCAGACAAGTTCTCCTGAAATCAGCAGCAATTCTTTGACCAGCCCACCTGTCTTTCTATGACGTTTTGAAGCCATTGGAAATCCGCATGATCACCTCCAAAAGCGATAATCATGTTGTTGTTCACTTTATACTGACGAGATACATTCTGAACGTCAAAATTTGGCAACGCTGGGAAGAAACAGGAGGGATGACAAGCAGATCCGGGTGTTACAATAAGGGTACATCATGAGAGGGAATTTTTCTGTCCACCCAATCCTCCCTCCTACTTCTTCTCCAAAACGGGACAATAGGTCAAGTTCTAACCCCCCCCCCAACGACATCTCCTTTGGATTCTATTCCACAACAAGGAATACACAAGACAGAATCACATTACTCCGATTCTCGTTAACTACATTTTGGATACCTAAGGGATCATCCTCCACGCATTTCATGGTAAGCATCATCCTACAAGATCTGATCGTTATGGCGCGATTCCAAGAGTGATCGCGCTTCCGGAGTAAATACCTTGGAGGTCAGGTCAGATAGTGGAAGTGCAGGAAAAGGGCATACAAGTGTACAGCTGACTTACTCAGGTATGCAGCTTCGCAGAGTTTAGATAGAACATCCCGTTGAAGAAAGTAACGTAGAGGAAAAACACTCGCACTCTGGTCACTCAAATCTCTGGTTCAACGGTTCAAGGCAAATCACACGTCCAACTGATGTGCAAATGCCGTTACTGGACACGGTAGACTTATCCGCAAGCGCAGAGGATGTGTTACCTTCGCAACTCAAAACAAGTGGTGACGACGCCATACTCTTACGACGAAGGCAACGTCCCGCCTCTGCTCTATGGGGCACCCAACGTTCGATTCTAGAGTCTTCCTGATGGTGCAGATGTTCCACTACTAGCTATTTCCGTTCCCAATAGTGAGAGTGAGGTGGTAAACGAAAAGAGCCGATGTGTAGGAACTCGTGCAACAGCTCTCTCTCTGCTGTGCAGTTCTGAATGGAAGGGGTTCTATCAGGGCAGTAAAAGAGTTCTACCCACCAATTTTGATCGGGGTCGTTTTTAACGCGGCAACCAATCTTTACGTTACGCTGTGTATCGCGCAGCTTTTTCCGTACGAAACAACACGATCGGTCATAATAACAACACCTTTCTCATACTGGAGAGCAATCACCGAGGTACCGGTACAAGTTGGATTTCTGTAATTACAACTGAAATTCATAGAAAAAAAAAAAACGGAGAAATTCAAACCAACTTACAGGGTTCGTTGCATATCAATGGATTTTTGGTACCACCTGCAGTAATTGCTGACAGATTAATCGATGACACATCAAAAAATCAACCAACATTCAAAAAAAGTAAAATATTCAATGAACAATAACATTTCTCAGTTTTGAACGATTCTGTAACAAACATTTATTTACATAACAAAGTGAGCATACCCGGCACTCACATAAATCAACAATGATCTACAAATACCTCTGTAAGTTATTTCAACGCAGCATCTTTCACACAGAACAATCACTTTCCAAAAACAAGCATGACTTTGAAAGTAGGAAAGGTCACTCACAATCAACAAAAAACAAGAAAAAAACGATGGTCATGTAAAAAATAGAGGTCTTAAAAAGCCACCCATGATCTTAAAGTTCTACTTACAGCAGGATTAACATAGTTATTAACATTTCTATATCACCTCACATGGCTCGATTCACGTAACCATCGCTTTGGAAACGAAAACCACACAATAAAATTACTAAGTTTTTCAACCGGTGTCAACATCTCACCGCGTCATAGCCTCTCAAGAGTTAGGCAGCGTTCACACTTGTAGCGCTACAGCGTCGCGCTACAGCGTCGCGCTACAGCGTCGCGCTACAGCGTCGCGCTACAGCGTCGCGCTACAGCGTCGCGCTACTGCGTCGCGCTACAGCGTCGCGCTACAGCGTCGCGCTACTGCGTCGCGCTACTGCGTCGCGCTACAGCGTCGCGCTACAGCGTCGCGCTACAGCGTAGCGCTACAGCGTGCGCTACAGCGTCGCGCTAACAGCGTAGCGCTACAGCGTCCGCGCTACAGCTGTAGCGCTACAGTTGTACCGAACTCCAGCTTTTATGTTTTTTCTTTCTATATCATCCTCTTCTCTTTGTTTCTCATATTTATCTGATAGTGAGCTCCTGTTTTCTACTTTATCACATTTTTGATGTAGTTTGATACAAAAGACTGTGATTAATGGTTTTATTTATCGTTTTTGACTTTAATTATTTGGTTTCACAGTTGCTTGATGTTTGATGGCTTTGCTTGATGTCTTGCAGTACTGCCTCGTTTTGATCCCGATTGCGAAACTACATTAAAATGTGATAAAGTAGAAAACAGGAGCTCACTATTAGATAAATATGAGAAACAACGAGAAAGGATTGAATATAGAAAGAATGAATACAGAATCCTATGCCGCTTATGGATTACGGAGCGAAATCTGCTTTTCGAATTTGCCCCCAATCTCTGCCTGGATCACAGGAAAAAGATTCATGCCGGTTTTCGAGGCATTACCCAACAAAGCTTTGACAGTTTCTTGTACTTTTTTTGGCCCAGGAGCGTAAAAATGGCCTTATCTCCCACAACAGGCACGCGAACACTGTCTGGTCACCAATGCGTTAGCACAATGCAAACAAGAAGTTCCTTTATGGTTCTTCTGTCTCCGGTAAAAAACATGCGTGCGTGTTTTAGGTGGCGCGAGTACTCTTTGGGTGTTTTTTGCAGAAAATGCTCTTAATAGGACAGAAGGACACTGTTACGCTAAAAGCAGTACCAGAAAAGTATTGACTAATGGAGTAACTGTCAAGGATGGTCAGATATTAGGTTGGCTAATAAGTAATGGCGGTTTTTTTCAATTGAAAAATTTGTTCCAAAAGTGAAAAGTTTTGCAAGCAAGCTTAATATCGTTTAATAGCAAATTTCTCGTAGTATTAGAATATCAAATTCATATTCAGTTAATTCAACTATTAGCATGAAATTTCTAAATAGAGGCAGTTGTCGAAGGTGCTAATTTTCGGCGACTTCATCCAACTTCAACGACTGAAAAATCCACAAAAACTATATCCTCAACCAAAGCTTTTTTGATATTCTTATACTAAGAGAAGTTTGCTATTAAACGATATTAAGCTTGCTTGCAAACCAGTTCACTTTTGGAACAAATTTTTCAGTTGAAAAAAACGGCCATTACTTATTAGCCAACCTAATAGTTACAGCTGCATCAGTCTCACCTTTCCGTGAATTTCTCAAGAAAACTCCAGCAACCTTCCCACTTTTCTCTATAAGCAACTCTAATCATCCTAACGTTGGAAATTGCAGTACGTTGCGAAGCGGTGCTGTAGCGCTACGGTGTAGCGCGACGCTGTAGCGCGACGCTGTAGCGCGACGCTGTAGCGCGACGCAGTAGCGCGACGCTGTAGCGCGACGCTGTAGCGCGACGCAGTAGCGCGACGCTGTAGCGCGACGCTGTAGCGCGACGCTGTAGCGCGACGCTGTAGCGCGACGCAGTAGCGCGACGCTGTAGCGCGACGCTGTAGCGCGACGCTGTAGCGCGACGCAGTAGCGCGACGCTGTAGCGCGACGCTGTAGCGCGACGCTGTAGCGCGACGCTGTAGCGCGACGCTGTAGCGCGACGCAGTAGCGCGACGCTGTAGCGCGACGCTGTAGCGCGACGCTGTAGCGCGACGCAGTAGCGCGACGCTGTAGCGCGACGCTGTAGCGCGACGCAGTAGCGCGACGCTGTAGCGCTACAAGTGTGAACGCTGCCTTAGAGGTAGAGAAGGGCAGGGTAAGACAAGCAAAATACAAGAAAACAACGGGTTCAAAAAATATTTTGAAGTTTAGATATCCCAGTGGATATGCGGGCAGAGCTCAAAAGACAGGTTTCGTTGATCTAAAAGCGACAATCTAACCCCAAAACGTTCCTATACATGACAATATCTCCAGAAACACCAAAAAAGCGATGAATCAGATCTGACTCCCTACTTCAGAGTTAAAGCTCTGATGGTGAGTCCCGCAAAGCACTCAATAAACACTCCATTCCAAACGTCGCACGTTGGGATCCATAGTGAGAACAGGGGAGAGGTGGCAAGAGGGGGCGGGTCGCAGCGATAATCGCCCTTGAGAAAAATGTTTTCAGATGTTTTTTCTTGTTTTTTTTCCTGTTTCACGCGCGCTAATGCGCTATACACTCCCTCACGCCTCAACTCGAGGGCAGGAAAACTTGAGGAATGGTAGGTAAGGTGGGGAGTGTAGAAGAGTGTTCATACCAGAGGAGGACCTTTTTAGGGGGTATCATTTTGCGAAAATTTTCCGCAGGCGAGACGTGCTCTGACGGGAACAAGTTTTAATCAAGAGCAAGGCCACATGAGCGCCTTTATCTAGGAACCCGCGGACCTCTCATGCAAAGCGAATTGGAGCGGAACTGTGGCGGTAGCTTAGCATCAAGGAGCGGCAAAAGAAGCGTTTCACACGATGCACATGTGCGATATTTGCACCAGAACCCAAATGACACGACAAGATGGCGGGACTCCATTTCCCTGGAACTATGAATGAAAGCTTGTTTTCGCCACCTGCACGACCCACTTCTGTTTTGTATAATACAACCCTCTGAAAAGAAACTCTGTTTAGTTCTCCGAGACGTCGTCGACCAATTCATTTTCCTCGCTTTGTTCCACAGCCGTATGCGCGTATTTGAATCGATGAGCTGAAATCGGCTTAGAAATAGGGCTCACCAAGACCAGTGACTATTACGGACTTGTTCGCTACGAATGATGGGGCGTGTCAGCGTGGCTACATTTGGCATGCTGCCAGCCCGTTCTCTACCAGTTGCAAGAAATGGTACAAAAAACAACAACGGATGGAAAACCATTGTTGCGAACGTTATGATACAGTTTTGTCTGTCTCTTTTTTTTTTCGAACGCTTCCGAAAAAAAAACTATTGGCGTCGCGCCAACACATCCCCCTTGACACGCCCCATGATCCGCGGCCAGCAAGACAATAGGTGCAAGATAGCAGTTAGCAGAACTAACCATTGCAATCCCACCCCTTCTGCTTGCACGTCCAACGACAGCACTTTTTACAGAACACGTAAGCACAACCTTGTCCAGCTGGTTGCGTGCATCGCGTGCACGGGGGAAACTTCATCTATAAAACAGCTATTCAAGAATAAAAGCAATGGGGAACGAAAACAAGGAAGACAGCAAAAACATACATACCCTTTTTGAGATTATTGTTCTCTGGCCATTCAATTTCCTACGCTCCCGCTTCCGTGCTTGCCTTAAGTGAAATACTTGAAACTTACTTTTAGAAAGGAAGCAAAAGTCACATACTTCAGAGATAAACCCATTTCATCGGCAATTTTTTGAAGATGCTCCTTTCTTTTCTCTTTGTAGGTCTTTTCCCCTTCACCAACAATAGTTTCACGGGCCATCTAAATTAACCGAAACTAAATCATTTCAAATGCGGAATGACAGCTGAACCAACCTCTGATAGGCGGAAGTACGGTTTACAGATCCAGTGCGGTGTTCGAGATACTTCAATGGGATCCATTTTTTCATCGCCACATCTGAAGGCAAGGAACAATTTCTTGCAAAACGGCATTGCAGTACGAGTGGACTTGGAAGATAAGAACGACGCCCAGCGCCGCGCCATGTTGAATGGGTTCAGTCCTGGTGGTAATGCAGGGTAAGTCACCCGCTGGTAAAACCACCCCTGCCTAATTCGCTGCGACTGCAGAGTAACGCTCCACTAGCTGGTTCGGACTAAGCTGGGCATTAGATGATCTAGCCAAACACCTCCACTAAAAAGCACGTATAACCACTGTACGTATGACAAAAGGATTAAGGATAAAGCTTTCGTCATGATCGCATGCGTTCTACTTCCACTAAGAAGCAGTGATGGCAGTCTGAATGCGATTCGGCCACAGCAGGGAACTGCGCGGACCTACTGACGCAGAAGTTTTCGCGCACGCTGACCTTTTGGCTGTTTGCTGACACAATGAAGTGGTTTGATGGCTCGAACAGAAGAATATCGAACACATGATCGTCGAACTGTATGTGAATTGCCACTACAGCACCTCCGCCGTTTTGCATGCGTATTATGACAAAAATAATACCGAGATCGATACCTTGCTAGGGCAAACACACGTGTTAAACAAGTTACCCACCGAATCCGCTCGAAAAGCTCTTTCGCCAATGCAATACGGTGACGTGCTTCTTCACTATCAGCAACAGCCCGAGTTCGTATACGAAGTTCCTCAACAATCGATTCATAGTCCTCCAAACGGTGTTCAGTAGATACTCGCATTCGTAGGTCAGCGAACTCCAAAAGGCTGAACGCAATGAAGTGATCCTCTTGCGAGGAAGAAGAAGTGTAAACAGAAAAGCAAACCTGTGATGGCAGATCCTAAAAATATGAGCACGAACAGCGCTTGTACCAGCTTGGTACCTACGGGCATACTCGAGGTATTCCTTGGCCACCAACCAGCTTTCTTCGTTCCTATTCTATACAACACAAATCAGTACACAATGTCGCAAAACACCATTCGGCATCATACGGCACAGATATAAACAACTTCATATTCTGCGACTGTGAAGAGTGCAACTGAGCTGCGTTCAGACTCCACAATGACGTGCTACGACGCGCGTCGTCGCGCTACCGTTGCAACCGCGTTCCAGTCTTATAGAAGGGAACGTATCCGTAAATAAGTATAGATCGGCGCCTTCCGCTCATTTTTGGGAGAGTATAGGAGGACAGGGAGGGTACCATATTGTGTGATCAGACGTTGCTGCTTTGCGATCGCACCGCAGAGCACCATTTTATGTCGCCTGATCACATTGTCTGGTACCGTATAGTTCTCTTACACTCTCCAAAACACCAGCGGCCTGCACCCAACGATACCTGTCTATGGGTATGTTCCCTTCAATAAAACAGCAACACGACTGCAACAATAGCGCGACCATGCGCCGATTCGCGAGGTGTCGTAGCTTTAGAGAAGATCGGTAGCAGAGCAATGTGTACGCGCCGATCCGGTGAGTCCGCGGACTAAATGGGATTCTCCATTCCCCGATGGTTATTCGCGCGTTCTCCTAGGTCTCCCGCACCTCCATACCGCTAACTTGAATTTTCCTCGCTCCAGAATCGCAGATTCTCCACATCCGCAATGTATGGAGTGCGGCGCCCTGGCCACGCCCTCAACAGTAAGATACTTGAAAAGAAACTCACCACAAAAAGCAGAGGATTATAAAGCAAGCCCTCAGCCGACATCACAGCAGCAGCTTTTGTCTCAGCAAGGCATCGCTCAACGTCGCCAGGCATCTAAGAAGAGAATAATGAGTACGTAAATGTGCGCGATTACAACGACTGTGAGTAACACCTGTATATTCCCATTAGCCACTACTGGGACATCCACAGCCTCGACCACTTCTCTTATACGGGACCAATCAGCTAAACCAGTGTCGGCTCCTTTCATTTCACGAGTACGGCCATGAACAGTTAGCCTAAAAGAAAGCAAGCGAATACTACGACAGAATGACTGAATTCTATATTTCACCCACATTGTAGCTCCGGCATCAACTAATCTTCGAGCGTATTCGATAGTTTGCTTAGGACAGTCTCGGATGCGAATTTTGCATGAAACGGGTAATGCACAGAAATCCCTCACAGCAGACACCATCGAACAGACCAAGTCGACTTCATCCTTCAAAATGTTCCGTTAAAAAGTCTAATACTTTAGAAGAACTTGGAACTGAAAAGCAAACCACTGAGAGCTAAATTAGTTTCCTTCCAGGGCAACACGACAGACTTTCAAAACTAATACAAACGTGGCAAGATGGAAATCCCCAAGTAATTCAGATCAATACCTGTAAGTACGCTCCATATCGTCCTTTTTTGGCGACCATTTGCGGACAGCCTAAGTTGAGATCTACTCCATCACAAAGACCTTCCACCAATCGGCAAGCGGCAAGGAACGTGTCGGGTTTGTTAGCACAGAACTTAAGCATGCTAAGTTAAAAGCACAGTGTTCATATTTCATTGAAGAAAATGAGGCAATTCGAGCCGACTCACCTGAACAATTAGTGGGCGATCAGTTTCACACAATGCAAGCGAGTTTCGTCGATAAGTTGGATCGTTGACGAATAAATGAGCGTGGATCATCGGCGTAACTGTGATGTGGGCGCCATACTTCCGCATGAACATGCGAAAAGCCAGTTCACTTAAGCAAATCCATACGACTCTGATAATGTTGTCAACTAAATACATAATAAAATACCAAAAACCTCTGATCAACCATTGGCGCAACAACTTTCACATTTTTCTTGTCAGCGAAGAAATTCCGCCAGAACGAACGTTTGGAGGCAATCTATAATGAGGATGGTCACAATTGTCAACGACTGTAAACTCTTACTGTTCAGTTTCACTGGGCTGCAATCACGTCCGCAGCATTTCAATCGCAAGTGGAACCTAACTAAACTGGGTCACATTTTAGAAAGAGGCTCTTAAAGATTAGTCCGCAATTGCACAATGTGGATGCAGCGTTTAGTTACGAACATGAAGTCGCTAAGTCTTGTCCTTCCAGTTTACCAGAGTTCCCGAAGAACAGATACCATGCCATTCAGTACTAAATGCCACTCAGCAGTAGCAAGAAACGAATATTAGCACAGAGATGAAGCTCTCAACAGACACAGTCTGTATACAGTAGTCACGCGTTCTCTAGCGCCTCTGTTTTCTTCCATTTCCCTTTTGCGTAAATGGGACCTCTGCGACTGTGAACCCAGGCACCGAACAGGAGAAGGCGTTATAACTTAATCGCGAGACATGCCTTCAAGGACAAGTCTACAATAAACTCATATCCCAGGACCGCCCTCTCCATGTGCAAGGTGAATGGGAGACCCAAAAGGAGGAAAAGAGGCTGGAGGGTAGTCATAACCGAGTGCCGTCTTCATACTACGCCCGCGCTATCCTATCTGCTGCAAAACTTGCGAGGATACCGAGGCACTGCAACGAAACACGTAGTCAGTGGAAGCAAACAACAACAACAAGGGAAAGGGCGCAGAGAAGTATGCATTTGGCTATGGTCACACGTGTGACTGGTCGAGCGGTAGCGCGGGTGAAGTATGGAGACGGCACTTGAGTATCACTACCCTCTGGCTCGCTCCCGTGCACTTTTAACCGAAGAAAACGGCATATGCCGTTGCGAAACCATTCACCTCGCACATGGCGAGGGCAAGGTCTACGCAGGTGAGGCAGTTTCTTTTTAAGGGAGCTGTTCGCAAACTTCGAATTGTCGGGTGTTGAAAAATGACAGCAGAATCCAGCACTTCTAAAAACTGCTGGGGGAGGGGAGAGAGGGAGTTTCAGGTGCATGGCAGTTACCAAATATGAGGCTAGTCGGCCAGTTGGTGCAATACGCAATCTGGGCGGCTACTTTACTTCAACACTCTCAACGTTGACGCGCTCAGTCACTGGCTCATTGAGCAAAGTCCAAATGCAAACGAAACTGAAAGGCAATCAATTACCTGCTGTGGAGTGTTCCTGACCGCAGGTCCAAGTGTAAGGGTTTTCGGGATTCGGAAGATATCTGCCGTATCCCTTCCATCCGCTTCAGCATTACTGACATCGACATGAACCTCATGTTCTTCAGCGTCAAAATCCTCCACAGCCTTCGGGACCATCCCTGACAAACCTCTACTTCGAAATATCATGTAAAGTTCATATTATTACAAGGATAAAGTGAAGTATAGACATTGAATTGTCACAAATATTCGGCCTACAATACTTTAAGGCAACCAAAAACTTCATCGTTGATCTTTGAAATGGACCAGAAATTGCATATTACATCAGTAATTCAATTTGTACTACAACCACAGATAATCAATTCTCGTAATCATAACAAAAAAGAGAAAATGAAACAAATTATGAAAACGATAACCAATGATTCGACCATGAGAGCGTGGAAATAGATCTAGAGACAAGAACCGTGCTGGCCAAATAACAAGAGGAAATGCAATAAAAACAACAATATAAATTAATTTCACTGTCACACTAAGTGGATACTAAAACAAAAAATATAAACCCGATAAGAAGTAGGATTTTCCATTGCGGCTCAGTAGTCATCTCGGCCCCAGTTGCCTCGTCCACGTCCTCTCTGGAAACCTCCGCCTTGAAATCCACCTCCACCATGCGGACCACCTCTACTTCGATTGTGTGGATTCCCTCGAGGGCCGCCGAAACCGCGACCGCCTCGGAAGTCGCCACTAAATGAACAATTGACATTATTACCAATGTTTGAATTACAAACTGTTTTCTTCAATGAGAACGATCGGGGTATATTTATAGGAAATATGTCACGAAACGGTGCTTGATCAATTCAAGAGGAAATGAGTACCCTAACCAACCAGCGAGCAAATATTCACTCATTTTCAAAAACGATTTCACCGCTATATGTGGAATCAAAAAATCACCGCCTTCAACTTCCTACTTCAACCAGACTCAGACAGCCTTCCCTACCTACACGTCCACTCTCATCATGACCCGCGACTTACGGTGCTAGCATTTTAAAAAACATCCCTTGCATCCAGGCAATTCGGAGGCATCTTTTGTAGAAACAGTCAGATCCTCAATCTATAAGATTATCCCACTTTCGCGGTCCCACAGTGAGCAACGAAGGCGCTGCGGCCCTCTGATATGTGGCAATTCTGTTGCCTCGATACTTGTCCCGCCTACCAAAACTCAGAGCCTATTTTCTGAGATAAGCGCAGCTTTAACAACATTTTCCGTCTTTTTTTTCTCATAATGGTAATAGCATTAGCAACGCGAAGAAACTACCAGTGAGCCAGAAAGGGCAGGACATCGGCTGGCATAAAACGAGCAGGTCCGGAGAACTTGTACAATGAGATTGCCAGTGGTTCTTATTCGGGATCCTGGTGCATGATTTTTTCCCTGGAGACTCATATGGTGACTATAGGTTTGTAATTGAACGCCACTACCCAAAATATACAATCGTGGGCTTCTTCACTGCGTTCAGTTGCTCATTTCATTTGTTGCGTTTACTATTGATGAGTACTTCTCTTTTCTTTGATGTTATACCCCTTCCTCTCCGTCCATGCGAAAAAAGGGGAAATGCATAAAGTTTTGAGCGATTGTCAAGGATTCGATCACAAAATGTGGAAAGAGACCTAAGGACAAAAGTCCAGAGCATGTGCGACTCCAGGGTCCAGGGGTCAGGGCCTGGCCCTTCAGAACAGATAAGGGATAGAGTCTACGCCGTAAAAGTGTCCTTGCTCCCCCTATATGAATCGGATACCAATCTATCATCCCTGGAGAATAGAAAGCTTGGTGGATCTGGCCGGAAACCGATCCGGGATCTTTCCCCAATCATGCGCGTGGTAAACATGCCACCGCCCTTGACCACCTCCGCCTCCAAAGAACAGATATATTCTAACTTAAAAGAAACTAAACAAACAGCTATTCTACGTTCACATGGAGCCAAACTCACGATTTTCTCCATTGATCACCTCTACCACCTCCACGACCATAGAATCCACCACCATGTGGCCTTCCTCTACCAGGTGACGAAAAGTTTCCGAAGTTTCCGCTGTTATGAAACTGCTGACCAGGCGGCGGTTTTTGGTAGAACTCATCACGACCACCCTCACCGTAATAAGTACTGTCGCCGTTGTGATGCTCTAAAAAACCGTCAGCAATCTGAGAAAGTAAGATTAAGAGAAAGGCACTTACCGTGGTCACCGCCAGGAACTGACGCTTGATAATCTAGATTCGATGGTCCTTCTTCGGCATACACAGGCTGCTGAGGTCTTGGAGGAGGCATATGAAAATTGGGAGATGGAGGTTGTGTGATAACTGTCTGTATTGGGTGTATTGTTTGTATTGGTTGTTGCATTGGCTGGACTGGCGGCTGCATTGTCTGGACCGGTTGTATGGGCTGTACTGGTTGCATGGGCTGTACTGTTGGTATCTGTTGGACCGGCTGAATACGCTCATCTACATCACCGAATCTCTGCTGTGCAACAGGAGGAGGATAGTTCATCTGAAACGGGCAAAGTGGCGGCAGATCCCAGTATTACCGAAAAGTAATCTTACCGGTGGAAGATTCTGTGTGGGCCTCTGGTTGTTTGCAGCGGCAGCGGCGGCGGCTGCAGCAGCTGCCGTAGCCTGCTGAATAGTTTGGAGGCTAGGTATAGATTTGAGCAACGCCTGAAAATAGTTAAGTAAACTTAGACCCTTAATTGGGGGTTGCAATCATCGATTCCCACCTGAATGTTTGGAGGCGGTTGAGTGGCAATTGGAGGAGGTACTGAAAGATTATGTCCCCCTGTAAAACTAGATGGTTGTCCAGCTGAAGGCGGAGCCACTGCCGTATTCGTTGGTGAAACAAAAGTAGATGGCTGAGACTGAGACACCCCGTAGGTAGGCTGGGTTTGGAAGGATGGTGGCATCGTGTTGGAAGGTTGGGGTTGGAAAGATGGTGGCATCGTGTTGGAAGGTTGGGTTTGGAATGATTGTGGTATCGTGTTGGAGTTGTTGAGAAATTGAGAGACTGCAAAAAGATAACGCGTTCAGCAAAAGGAAACCAATCAACAGTCATCATAACAAAATTTACTGACCTGTGCTACCGTTTGAGGTCAGCTGAGATATCGGCATTATTGGTTGTTGAGGTGTAGTCGACGCCAGAAAAGCAGGTGGTCGCCCTTCAAGCAACGCAGGAGGAGCGGGAGGAGGAGGTAGATTCCCTGAGAGAGGAGACGTGCCGCCTACATCAATGGGAGCTGAATCATCGTCTAGGTCCATATCCGCTGATTCCATATTGTCCCTTGCACCAGGGACACGGAAGGCTGAAACGAGAAATAAAATGGAGCTAAAAAGTTGAGTATCCATGACAACTGACATTGCATCGCATTTTCAACTCCAGTCGCGTAGATATCGTCATTGGCTGTGGGTGAAGGAGCATCTCGGGGAGGAGTGGCTGCAGGATAGATCCCTGATTTCTCCATTTCCTTAATTGCACACCTTTATAGAGTGTTCCGTTTGGGAAAATTCTCCCCATAAAAGCTATTCTTACAAATGAAACGGTACAAAACTAAAGGCAAGCCAAATCTTACCAGTAAGTCAGCATGGACTTCACGAATTCCTTGGAAGTACTTTTGATAAGCCTAAAGAAACTACTTTTTAGGACCGCCTGTAATCGACACTTGAAGCGAAAGCAAAGAGTGGCCAGCATCGCTGGTGGAGAGTGGACTGACGAAAAAATCCTTACGTCTTCAACAACAGTCACATCCTTCAGCTGATGAGAGAAATTCCGCTTTGCAAGCTCAAGTGTCTCTATGAGCTGCAACATTTTCCTTTTCTGTTCCTCCATGGAGTGTCTAAAGGATGTTATCTGGCTGAGGACCTAAACACGACAGATAAGTCACTTAGATTTCGATAAATGTGAACTTCCTTCCAATATCGTCAGGTCTGTTCACGGCTGGTCGAAGCAATTGTTCCTACAAGGGGAGGAGGTTTCTTAGGTAGTGGAGCCCTTTTTGCCAACGGTTTGTTGCACTTTGTAAAGGTTTGTGCGGAGGCTACAAAAGTGGTTCATTTTCGCTGCGCGCTTCTGGGAATGCCAAGGGTCAAAGAAAGTTCGACTTCACAAATGCGGCGACAGAGAGCTGTCTTGTTTTCTGCACAGAAGATTTGGAGGTTTTTTAGACGTCATCTACAGGATTCGAACCATTAAGCTATTGTTCACCTTTTCGCTGCACTTCCCAGAAGCGCGCAGCGAAGATGATCTTCGCATGAGTTCCACGATCTGAATGATACGCCTCGTAAGTAGAACTATTCGCTAGGCAGCACTCTCTTCACTAATATAGAGAATGCGCAATTAGGCGGGATATGGGGAGAAGGAAAGTATTGGTATCCTTCTGGAGAGCCCGCGGTTGAAAAGAAATCTTGAATGTGGAGAATCGACGACAAAAGAGTTAGACGGGAACTGATCGACTTGCTATATGGGAAACCGAACGAGCCCGGGCGGTATGACCATCCATTCTATTACCGTTCAACCCTCTGCCGTTAATTTTCCGTGACCGTCTCGAACACGGCACTCCTACCGTAAAGGAAAATTTTCGCACATTGCAAACCCCTCAAAGCTTCCTCTAATACGACTCCCCCTTCCCCATCCTATTTACCTCAAAGTTCCCAACTTCTACCTCTTTCCAAGTAATTTTTCTGATAGTTCTCCACTTTCTCCCTGAAAACCTGTCGTCGTCGTCGTCGTCGTCGAATTGGGGAGGGGGAGGGAGAAAGAGAAGGGGTGGCGCACTCGAAAAGGGACCTAAAACGGGGAACACCGTGAATGTCAAAGCCGAAAACGGTTCCCTCAAAGGCGAATGCGACCCCCCCCCCCGCTGAGATTCCAACGTAGGATATGTCCTAGCGATACGAGTATATTCTTTTGCCGTTCGTTTTTGAATCGTGGGGCATGGGTGGCATCACGATTACAACGAATCTCTGCATGTTTCATGTAGTAATTCAGCAGTGATTTGAGCCAGTGCCCTTGGTTTTTCCTTTCTGATGAGGAGAAGTTGCACTTTGTGTGAACAGTGAGAATGTGAGCGGCGAAAGGGCGCATCATCACAAGAACAACTGGAAACGTTGAAAAAAGGGCTACGAGCGACAGCTAGGAGATAGCTCAGAGAAGAAAGGGAAAACTAAACTAAAGCAAGAGTCAGAGGGCAAAGTGTTGGCATTAACTGAAACAGAGAACGCAGTGGTGTGGGGGAAGGGCGAGAGGGGACATCAAAGTCAGAACGGAAGCAGGAAAGCGACCATGTCTTGCTCGTAGTTATAACGTAAGGAATATTCGAGGAATGAAACTGTATGTACCTGCTGTGTCTCCATAACTAACTGTGCTGCAACCGTTCGATCTAGCATACA